CTGTACCTGCTGATTGCTTTCCTTATTGAAATGCAGCTTTTTTTTTCCCTGTGGATTGCCCAGGATGGAGAAGCCAGGCTGGTGTGAGCTTACACACTTGGCTGCTTAGGTCTAGGCTTCTAGAACTAAGAAACCTGTGGAGCATATAGACCTCCTGTGCCCAAGGGTGGGGTGAGGAAGGGAAGGATGGAGAGGGGCCCTTGGGGTCTGTGGGGCTGGAGAGAGGGATGCAAGGAGCTTCTGGAACACATGGGGCCTACAGGGTGGTGGGGAAGGGGCTTTTTGTGAGAGAACAAGGGGGAATGGATGAAAAGTGGAAGAGGGAGATTGAGGTTGGAGATGAGGAGGGAATTCTTTGGTGTGAGGGTGGTGAGAGCCTGGCCCAGGTTGCCCAGGGAAGCTGTGGCTGCCCCATCCCTGGCAGTGTTGAAGGGCAGGTTGGATGGAGCAGCCTGGGCTGGTGGGAGGTGTCCCTGCCCATGCAGGGGGTTGGATCTAGATGATCTTTAAGGCCCCTTCCAGCCCATCTCCAAGACCTGCAGCAGGTGAAGATTTCCATCTCCAGGTTCTGTGCTTCAAACACCAGTTGCAATTGCTGGGCCAGGGCACTTCCTTGTCCTCTTGTGTGCAGGAATCATCTCCATTGTCTCAGCCTCTAATTCCCACATCTCCCACAGAGGCTGAGTCAGACTTTGGGCTCCGTGGGTTGATGGAGATGTTGATGGAGATGCTGAGGATGTTCCTGCTCTGCCATCCACAAGCTGTCCCACAGCCTGGTGGGCCAAGACTGACCTACCCCAGGGCAGATCAGAGGTAGCTCAACATGTCCTGGATGCTCCAAAGTGTTGTCTGACTGCAGCAAGGGTGGGAAGGACTTCTGTGGGAACAGTGATTGGGCCAGGCTTGCTGGCACGTCAGGATACAGTTTTGTAGCCAGTCCATGGCACCACTGACTCAACACCACAAGGAAAAGGCGAAACAAGAAGTGCTGCCAGGGAAAACCAGCAGCAAAAGGGCATCACCCTCCTCCTTCCTCCCAGGTCTGGCTGGGAAAGGGTCAGTAGGGGACACTGGGACCAGTCCCCAGCTGGACCAGCAGAGGAGAAGCCAACCTGGCTCCCATGAGCTGTCAGCAGTGGGTCCTGGGGGGGCTCGGGTGCCCCAACTGCCCCTTCTCCCGAGGCCTGAGGAGGCTTTTCCAGCGGCAGAGAAGATCAAACTGACACTTTTATGGGATGATCCATCTCCCTGAGCTTGTTGCCCCCGAGGTGCACGCTCAGCCCTTTGCCAGCTGCCTGCTGGGGTGATGATCCTGCTGACAGAGCCACGGAGCCTTGTCAGGGCTGAGATGAGAGTGAAGCTGCTCAGAGAGCAACCAGCAGCCTGTCCCTGCCTGGGTGCCTGGGCAGGGTTGTGTGTGGGTAAATGCTGGGTGTGATGCTTGCTCTGGTGGGGAAGGGGAAGCCAGGGAGCTCCCTGGAGCATCCCCCAGGCAGCTGGACTCTCTGCAACGTTGTGCTGAGCAAATAATCAGCTCAAGGGCAAAACCCCCCTCTGCTCCACCCTCGTTGCAAACCAGGCTCTCCAAGCAGGCAGCACGTGGCTGGGCTGGTTTCCATCCCCCAAAAAAGTGAGGGAAGCATCATTTTCAGGGGGAAGGGAGAGCAAAGGAAGCACGTTTTCACTGGCAACAAACCTGCTTCCAGCAAGTCTGTGCCTGGCAGCCCCGCGGGGCTAAAAATACCCAGCAAAGGACTCAGGGGCTGTTTTCTCAGCTCACCAGCTGCCTCCTCACATCTCCACTCCTCTACCCAATGATTATCCCATCACTTAAGGCCCTCTAAACCCAGGCAGCAGCATTTATCTCGTTTTACCAGATACAGATGAAAGGTTAAGATTCACAGGCAGCTTTTTGCTGCTGATTGCAGGGCAGCTCAGCCCCCTCCTGCCGAGGGGCAGCTCCAGCTCTGCCCTTCCTGCTGCTGAAGTCACTGGCAAAGTGTGTGATGTTTGGGCTGTCACCCCCATGGACATCCCCAAGGTCCTTCACAGTGACCCACTGGGTCTGCAGGGCTGCCTAAGAGACACTGGGCTTCACTCTGCAAGGTCTTGTGTGTGCAACATCCAGCTGGGCTCCCAGGGGAAGGGCTGTGTGGGGGTGGGTGGGTTTCCATTGCTTTTGGGGAATGGAGAAAATCCCAAGGTTTGGGATGGAACAGAACTCAGGGGTTGCTCCAGTCAAGGGGAGCTGACCCCAGGCAGCAGCTTCCTGCACACATCTCCCTGCAGGCATTCATAGAATCATGGGATGGTTTGGGTTGGAAGGGACCTTAAAGATCATCAGGTTCCAACCCCCTGCATGGGCAGGGACACCTCCCACCAGCCCAGGCTGCTCCAAGCCCCATCCAACCTGCCCTTCAACACTGCCAGGGATGGGGCTTCCTCATCATCCAGGTCCCTTTGGTCAGGAAGGAGCATAAACAAGCCTCAGAGGTTCAGGACAGTGTTACATGCCCATAATAGGTTTTATCCCACTTGAGGAACACACCTTAAATCTGTGAAGGGGCAGGAGGTGGCACAGACACCTGCAGGACACCCTGTCCCATGTCCCATCATGCAGGAGCGACTTTCAGGACAACGTGCTGGCTGCACTTTGAGGGGTTGGTGCTTTTGCCAGAGTTTCTCTATTTTTAGAGGGTTTTTTGTGTCAAACTTCCCATCAGCTGATGAGCCAATGTCAGCCCAAGAGCAGAGCTATGGTTCCCCCAGCGTGTCTGTGTGTCTGGGTGTGCACAAAAGCATCTCCTTGCACACTCTGCCTTTGAAGGGCCCTGCTGAGCTGGGGGAGACACCAGCTTTTGTTCCAGTCCAAAGGGCCAGAATGGGCTGAGCTGGCCCATGGCTGCAGGCAGGTCCTTTTTGTCCACGTTGCTTTGAAAGAGAGGAGATCCAAGGATATTCAGACCCCTTCTCAAGTGTTGAATCTCTCTTGTCAAGGTTTCCCAGCTGAGGACTGGCCCACAGCCTGTGTCAGACCAGCAGCCCTGCCCCTGAGCTTGCCACGTCCTGTCTTGCTGCTCAGCTCAGGTCCTGCCTTGGTTTGTTCCCTGGCAGACAAAGCCTGGCAGAGCTGGTGCTGTGGGGTGGGCAGGTCCCCAGGGCAGCAGGGGTGACAGCAGCACAGCCACCCTTGCTGCTGGGGCTGGAGGAGGCAGCAGCTCACCCAGAGGGCTGCTGATCCCCATCTGGCACTTGGTGCTGGGGTGGGACATCCCGACCTCTCACCCTGGAGGTTTTGGGCCGTGGAACTGGAGGAGAAGCTGCAGGTACCAACATTTCCTCTGGGAGCAAGTGCCTGGGTCCAGCCAGGCTTTGATCCAGCCTCCAGCCAGCCTGCAGCCCAAACTGGCAGCTCTGCCTCCCCCTCCAGCCTCTCAGCCCTGGCACTGGCTGAGCCCTCTGCTTGTGTTTGGGCAGGAATTCAGGGATTCTGCTGCTTCCACCCCCTGGTTGGGGTCGGGCTGACAGCAGATGTGCTGAAGCCCAGTGAACTCTGAATGGCCAGTCCCACCATATCTGGTCTGTTGGTGCCACAGGGAGAGGGGACATGAACATTTATCTGATCATTCAACTCATCTGTTGCTGTGGCTTCATGCCAGGTTTGGGCCCAGCTCAGGTTGGAGCCTGAATTTCTGCAAATTGAGAGTTTCAGAGGCTGGAGGACACCTGGGCCACGTGATGCCTGGACAGCCAGGAGCTCCATGGAGGGGGTGGGATCCTGGCCCAGGATGTGTGAATCCTGTGGATGTGAATCCAAAGACTCCTGCAGGATTCTGGGACCTGGGGATGCTGTTCCTGCAGCTTGGTGCCATACTGGGACCAGTATCGTGACCACAGGGGTGCAGGGTGGTGCAGCCCATCCCCATGGGTGCTGAGCCCACCTCTTGCAGTCCCTCAGGGTTTGACAGGGGTCCTGGGAAGGTGCCCTGGGCATTTTGGGGGTGGCAGGAGGGATCTGATCTCTGTCCTCTCTCCCATAGGTCACCACTGTGTGTTTGAAGAGCTGTGACTTTGAGCCTGATTTTCTGCAAATTGAGAGTTTCAGAGGCTGGAGGACACCTGGGCCACGTGATGCCTGGACAGCCAGGAGCTCCGTGGAGGGGGTGGGATCCTGGCCCAGGATGTGTGAATCCTGTGGATGTGAATCCAAAGACTCCTGCAGGATTCTGGGACCTGGGGATGCTGTTCCTGCAGCTTGGTGCCATACTGGGACCAGTATCGTGACCACAGGGGTGCAGGGTGGTGCAGCCCATCCCCATGGGTGCTGAGCCCACCTCTTGCAGTCCCTCAGGGTTTGACAGGGGTCCTGGGAAGGTGCCCTGGGCATTTTGGGGGTGGCAGGAGGGATCTGATCTCTGTCCTCTCTCCCATAGGTCACCACTGTGTGTTTGAAGAGCTGTGACACCAAACAGAGACAAGTTCCCAGCCCAGCAGTGACCATCTCACCCACCTCGGGGAGGACAGCTCAGCCTCACCAGCCCCCTCAGGATGCCCGGGCAGCCCAAATATCCCCCAGACCCTCCCTGTGCTGCTGCTTTCAGCTTGGGCTTCCCGTTGGGACAAGTCCTCAGGGGTCACTTTGTGCTCCTCTGAACATCACCACGGCTCGTTGATGCTCTGACCCCTCCAAAAGGTACCAGAGAAGAGCCACGAGGGACCCTGGCAGTGACAAGGTGGGAGCACTGAAGCCTGTGGGGGCCTTCCCAGTGCCAAGGACATCTCTCCATCCACGTCAGAGCGACGCCAGCTCCTGTTTAGCACCCATGAGGAAGGGATGGGGGATCCCTCCACCTTCACCACCCCCATCGCCCCCTCCCCGTGCTGGCTCCCCTGACCTGCAGGAGCCCACAGGGATGTGCACAGGGCCCTGCAGCTCAGCAGCACCCACTGCCCACCCCGGCAGCCGCTCCCAGGAGCTGTGCCCAGCCAGCACCCCCGCCATGATGTGCGAGGTGATGCCCACCATCAGCGAGGGGGACCCCCTGGGGCCCCCCCAGGGCTCGGAGGCGGACGCTGACTTCGAGCAGCTGATGGTGAACATGCTGGACGAGAGGGACAAGCTGCTGGACACCCTGCGGGAGACTCGGGAGACCCTCTCTGTCACCCAGAGCCGCCTGCAGGAGACCCTGCGGGAGCGGGACCAGCTGCAGAGGCAGCTCAACTCAGCCCTCCCCCAGGTAAGGATCTGGCCCTGGGATGAGCAGGAGCCACGCGAGGGTGATGGGATGTGATGTCCAGCTGATGCCCTTAGGGTTCCTGGCCCCCTGTGCCCGCAGGGATGCTGCCAGCTGTGCTGCACCTCGTGCCACTAGGAAAACCTGTAGGTTCTCCCAGGCTGAGCCACAGGCAGCTCAGACATCTCCTCTGTAACCCCTGTTGGTCTGGGAGACCATGCAGGAAGGTGTGGGGCAGTAATCCCTGCTGTTCCACAGGGAAACGGGTGTGGAGAGTAAGCAGAATGTTCCTGGGGACACCCCAGGGTGGTGGGATGGCAGGGGCAGAGCCTGTGCTCACCCGTGGGCACTGCACAGTGCTTGGGCAGCAGATGGCCTGTGTTGGGTAGGGGACCTGGTTGTGACCTCCAGCCAACTCCTCAGGATCTTGAGCAGTCCTGGGTTTCATGAGTCCCAGGATGGGGACATGAACCATGTCCCTTCCCCACTGCTGGAAGGAAACCTCCATTCCCTGCCCCTTTCCTCACCAAGAGGGCTCCTTTCCATCAGCCCCATCACCTGCTGGGGTGATGGGACTTTCTTTGTCTTGAGCTTGGTCCTGAGAGGGGACAGTGGAGGCAGAGCTGGGTGCAGAGCAGGGACTGGGACATTGCCATGGGCTGGTTGTTCCCTGAGCTGGAGCAGATGGGCAGGGAAGCAGCTGGAGGGGTGTGCTCAGTGAGCAGGCATGGGCGTGGGGAAATCAGGGCTTGCTGTGGCTCTGCTGGGGTTTCTGGAGCTGTTCTGCTGGGCTTTCTGGGGTTGTTTTGCTGGGGTTTCTGGGGCTGTTCTGCTCAGGGCTCCTCCACCTACAGAACCCACCCTGGGTCCTCCAGAGACCTGGACTTGAGCTTGTCCCCCACAAACGAAGATGCTCAGGTAGGAAGAGGATGAGGTGGATCAGCTTCACAGGGCTGTGCAGGATGGATCTGAGCTGCCCACCTTCCCTGGGGGGAGTTGTGGGACAGCACAGAGGGTCCCAGGGCCCAGATCTGAGGAAGCAGCATCTGGGGAACTTTTGCACTGCTCTGTTGTGGGTGTGATGTGGGGAGGAGCCCAAGCAGCCAGTCTTGCAGCATCTCTGTATGTTCTGACTGTGCTAGTGCTGAGACCTCAGATACCCCTTGCCCGGGTGCTTGGGTTTGGGGCACCCTTGGGAAGTGACTAATGGATCAAAACTGGTGCCAGAAGGCAGGATGGAGCCCAGGCTGGTGGCTGGCCAGCTCTCAAGTACCCCTTCTCCACTCTGGGTGGGAGAAGGCAGCTCTGGAGGAAGGCAGCCTGTGTGTCCATGCAGGGAGCTGGGCTGTCCTGGCTCTCCCCAGGCTCCTGCCAGCAAAAAGCCCAACGGTGCTTCCCTGGGAGCTCCCGGGGCCCTCAGGGATGAGTCATTCCCTGTGCTCAGGCAAGGCCACCCCCTCCCACCTGCTGCTGGGGGCCTGGTGTCCCCTCTGCCCCTCGGCCAGGGTGATGGGGAGCCCAGCCCAGGCCACCCCAGCGCCCGCCCCGCCGCGGATTAAGGGACCGCGCGGATTTAGTCCCCGCTCCGAACCCGCAGGGAACTGGGTCAGTGCCCACCAGCCCCGGGTGCCTGTGGCTGCTGCTCCTCGGCCAGGAATGTGACTGAGGGGGGTGGTGGCAGATGGGGAGCTCCCCTGTCCCCCCCTGCCTGTCCCCGGGGTCTCGGTGCCCGCGGTGCCGGCCCGGGGGGGATGAGGGCTCGGGATGAACATGGGGAGCGAAGCCAAAGGTGCCCACCTGCCCAATGGGATTAATCCCAGCATGTGCATGTACCAGGTAAGTGGGACGTGGGTGTCTCTCCCCTGGGGTGCTGTGTGGGGGCTTTCCAGGGGCCTCTCTGTCCTTCTCCCTGAGTCCTTTCACCCAGGAGCTTATTGCAACACGTCAGAGCTCACTGGGATGGGATTCAAGCTGGATTGCTTGAAGAAACCCTTTTTGGGGGGCAGGGTTGGGCACCCGGGCTCATCAGAGGCCACCACGAGGCTGAGAGCCCTTCCCCAGGCCCTGGCTGTGCCAAGGTGGTGCTGCCTGGGGAGGAAGAGGTGGGTGGTGGCGGGGACAAGGCACCCTGTGTCCCTTCAGGGCACAGTGGCAGCTGGATCATGGGATCCAAGTGCCAGAGACACTGCTGATGGGGCAGGCAGGGAAGGGCTGTGTCCTGGGGAAACCCCTGTGTGGGGCAGGCAGGGATGCTCCAGGGATGCTCCTGCCTGTGGCTCCTGTTCCCCTGTGCTCATACAGGGATGCTCCAGGGATGCTCCTGCCTGTGGCTCCTGTTCCCCTGTGCTCATACAGGGATGCTCCAGGGATGCTCCTGCCTGTGGCTCCTGTTCCCCTGTGCTCATACAGGGATGCTCCAGGGATGCTCCTGCCTGTGGCTCCTGTTCCCCTGTGCTCATACAGGGATGCTCCAGGGATGCTCCTGCCTGTGGCTCCTGTTCCCCTGTGCTCATACAGGGATGCTCCAGGGATGCTCCTGCCTGTGGCTCCTGTTCCCCTGTGCTCATACAGGGATGCTCCAGGGATGCTCCTGCCTGTGGCTCCTGTTCCCCTGTGCTCATACAGGGATGCTCCAGGGATGCTCCTGCCTGTGGCTCCTGTTCCCCTGTGCTCATACAGGGATGCTCCAGGGATGCTCCTGCCTGTGGCTCCTGTTCCCCTGTGCTCATACAGGGATGCTCCAGGGATGCTCCTGCCTGTGGCTCCTGTTCCCCTGTGCTCATACAGGGATGCTCCAGGGATGCTCCTGCCTGTGGCTCCTGTTCCCCTGTGCTCATACAGGGATGCTCCAGGGATGCTCCTGCCTGTGGCTCCTGTTCCCCTGTGCTCATACAGGGATGCTCCAGGGATGCTCCTGCCTGTGGCTCCTGTTCCCCTGTGCTCATACAGGGATGCTCCAGGGATGCTCCTGCCTGTGGCTCCTGTTCCCCTGTGCTCATACAGGGATGCTCCAGGGATGCTCCTGCCTGTGGCTCCTGTTCCCCTGTGCTCATACAGGGATGCTCCAGGGATGCTCCTGCCTGTGGCTCCTGTTCCCCTGTGCTCATACAGGGATGCTCCAGGGATGCTCCTGCCTGTGGCTCCTGTTCCCCTGTGCTCATACAGGGATGCTCCAGGGATGCTCCTGCCTGTGGCTCCTGTTCCCCTGTGCTCATACAGGGATGCTCCAGGGATGCTCCTGCCTGTGGCTCCTGTTCCCCTTTGCTCGTGCAGGGCTTGGTTGCCACATGGCCCAGCCATCCCTTCCCCTAAATCCATGGGGCATCCCTCAGCCCCCAAAAGGCAGAACTCCAGGACGATTTCCCAGGGAAACTAAGCTGCCTTAATGCTTCTTACATGATTTATTTATTCATATGGAAGCTCTGAACGTGACTTAATCAGGCTGAAAGCTCTTGGCTCCAATCCCTCTGCCCTCTCTGCTTGTGCAGCGGGTTTGAGGCTGAGGACCAAGCCCTGGCCAGGGTCTGGGGGACCCTCAGCAGCCTCAGAGCCCTGCCAGGGCTGCCAGCTTCCTCCTGCCTGGCCACTTGGCTCAACTCTCTGCTCTCCTGGGTGTAGGTGCCACCTGGGGATGTCACCTGCAGGGCTCCAGGTGTACCCAGGTATGTTCCTGGAGGTGTGGGATGGCACTTCTGCCTGCCCTGCCAGGGCTTAGGGATTTGGCAGCAGTCCCTGTCCCCAGGAGAACAGGCTCACAGATTTCCCAGGAGCTGCTGTGCTGGAGGCTGCTGATGGCCATGGAAATCTCCTGCAGTTCTCCCTTCCAGGCCCTGCCCTGCTGCACCTTGGGGCTGCCTGGGGAGCTGAGAGCTGGGCTTTTGGGGCTGGCCAGGCCCCCTTAGACTCCCTGAACTCCCTGGAGGTCCCCCAGCATCTGGGGAGGGTTCTGGCGTCTAATGATCATCCCAAATTCCTCCCATTTAACTTAAAAATGTATCTGTAATGAACACTGGCAAAAGTCAGTGTGAAAATAGGAACTCCAGGGGCTCCAAGCCAGGGTCCAACCTTTAGTGTCTCAAGATTTTAGGGGAGGATGGAGGGATCTGGTGGCTCAACATTGAACCCTTGGAGCTGGCCACCCTCCTGCAAGACCAGGTTGCTGAGATGTTGGATTCCTGGGTGGAAATGCACCCTGTGACTGTGTGTGAGAGGAGAGGGCACCAATTCCCCATGGATGGTCCCTGCAGAGTCACAGTGCTGTGGTCAAGAGGTCCAGGATGTGCCACCACCCTGCCCAGCACTGAGCACGGGTGATGGTTGAAGCCCTGGGTTTACCCAGCAGGAA